AAGTAAATCAAAACAAACATGTTTATTCCAACACAGTAAACAGTAAACTCATAGTAAACAACAACATCCGCCAAACAAATTACTGCTCAATAAGCTCAAAAACTTTCAACTCCTCTAAGAAACTTGCACACATTAAAAATAAAAAGGTCCGCATGATTTGCTTACGATATTTTTAACCCACTTAATCCTAAAGCAAGTTTACATGAGTCGTGCGTGCACAAGTTCGTTAACGTTTTCTTGACATATTCAGATAGCAATTGTCCAATTAGTATTTCCTTTTGCATTGATTTGAGGGCAAGGAGATGAGCATCCAATTTCTCATTATATTTCTCATGAATGTCATCCCCAGGAACTGTTAGATAATCAGGAGGCTAAAGCTGTACTAAAGAGACAGTTCAGCATAGCAAAAGATGTAAGAAACTTGCATCATTTACTGGTGAGTTGAAAATTGCCCATAGTTTTTGCTTCTGATTACTAATTCACATTCTCATATACTGCATCAGCAAGTGACAAAATACCACAAATCCTCAAAATATTGCTTGAGGTGCTTACTTCAAATTAACCCCTTCACTCTGAGGAGTGATCAGAAAGGAATTTCTCCTTAGAGTTAGTATCTACTGTAAATCCTCTATTAAGCCCCTCCCCCTCCAATAAGCCACCCCCCCCCAAAGTACCTGAGATAAATAAGTCCCCAGGGGGGTTTATTACAGGATTTACAGTATATACTTTAGCCCTTTGACCCCTAACAGTGACTGGCATCCAGTCTCTCTCGACAAACAATAAGGTTACCAGAGTACAAGAAAAGATGATCACCAACTTAAGATGCTCTTGATTGTGAAACAAATTCTCCTTGTCAGTACCTTAGGAAATGTATAGAGAACAGTATAGAGAATATGCATAATTATGTTAGGATGTAAACAGTAAATACATTTTTAACCAGAAAGATTATGGAAAAAAGAATAATACCAATGGGGTGATTCTATATGATTCCACATTGATTTCTCATAGCTAATATTGTGATAAAAGTATAGTGGACAATGTGGAGAATTTATATTCAGATTCTCGGAGGGTTAAGCTAAGATGGGAAGAGTTTTTGGAGGGCAGTGCCTACACAAGGGAACTTGTTGAATTTAATTTCCCAAATTGTGGCTATATATAATTGTTTGTTAGTCATTTGGTGTCTCAGCATAAACAATTAATGTACAAAGCTGACCATAAAGTTTTCATGTTATGATAACAACACAATTACTGACTGAGTTAAATTACCGTCTCCTGGTTAACTCAATTGGTTAGAGCGCTGGACTGATGTGCGGGAGGTTGAGGTCAATGGTTCGAGCCCCGGCTAGACCAACACTCAAGGTCTTAAAATAATTTAGGAGAATGCACTACCTTTCTATAATCAGGATGCTGGTGTATTTGATACAATCATCAAAAACTTCATATCTTTCTTTTGAAAAGTGTTTTGCCAAACTAAGTAGCATCTTTTGCACTCTTCAGAATGCCATCTTCTATCGTTTACATCACTTCCTATCAGAGAGCATGCATCGCTATAATCACTGGAGCAATTATAACTAATGATAACTACTCTTAAAAACTGTATTTGTTGCTGGTAGGTCTTGTTCAAACAGATGATAGATCAGCCTTATTAGAGATAACAAGACAACTACAATTAGAAAATGTAGTTGGGGACAAAGTATTTGTAAGTATGCTTATTGAATCATTTCCTTGTGACCAAAATTTGCAATAGCTTATGATGATGACCTTTGGTTTCAGGGCTCTTTTGCTGAAAACTTTGCTTTTTTGCTTGATTCACTGAAGAGCGGTAAGTTTTTGACAGCTTTTTACAAAATGAAAATTGTATACCTCAAAATTATTAGGCTTAGAATTAATAATTAATTTCATACGAATAAATATTTAGTATATAAAGGTGTATTGGTGCATCAAACATAACTCACAGTCATTGTCATTTAAATATGTATCCATTTTTCTTACTGTCAAGTCTTGCCTCTCTGTGGCTGGCAGTTTCAAGTTCCCTTTACAGAACTCTCTTGTAGATTTCCTGCCAAGAGAGTGAAATGTTTTACTGCCTAGCCATTAATTGTGACACTGTGGGCATCATTTTCCTGATGGTGGTTATAAGGACTTACTCCCCCAGAAAATTGTGAAAAAATGGCATGGCTAAGATCTGTTTTCCTCATTATTAACATTTTTTTTTTATCCAGGTGGAGAGGAGAGCCAGTCAATCTTGTTTATTATGGATGAGTTTGACCTGTTTACTAACCACAAGAACCAATCCCTGTTATATAATTTATTTGATGTGTCACAGTCAGCCCAGACTCCAATATGTGTTGTAGGACTTACTTGCAGACTGGTAATGAAATCACAAAATTATGTATCCATAGCAAAGCCATGCTTTTACTTTAAAAGGTTTGATATTG